CAAGTCACTGGGTAACAGAGAAGACCCTGCCCTCCAGGAGATAGAAACCACCTCTTCCTAAACACCTTTCCCTGACAGTCCAAGTTGAAGCAGGTGACTTCACTACTGGGTACTCTGCGCTTTTTCTGGACCCAGCAGGAGCCCTGGCACACAGTAGACACCTAGTGGAAATGAGCTGAATGAGTGGACTGATGTGTTTCTCACTAGGCTTGTGAAATCTGGGAGGGTGGAAACCTTGTCTGTCAGCGTCTCCACTGTATTCCCCAGTGCCCTGAAAATGGTGTGGCCAGGCCAGGCGCAGTGGCTCAACCCAGCACTTTGGGAGGCTGAGGTCAGGAGTTTGAGACCAGCCTGGCCAACATGTCAAAACACGCTCTCCACTAAAAACACAAAAAATTTTGCCAGGCGTGGTGGTGGATGCCTATAATCCTAGTTATAGGCTGAGGCAGGAAAATTGCTTGAACCAGGAGTTGGAGGTCACAGTGAGCCATGATCATGCACTCCAGCCTGGGTGACAGAACAAGACTCCGTTGTTGTTTAAAAAAAAAAAAAAAAAAAAAAAAAAACCTTCGTCGGGAGCCGCAGAAGAGAGACAATGATTACAATCATTCTTTATCAAGCATCTATTCTATGCCAAGCCCCGTGCTAGGCCCTTATACACTGAATACATTATCCCATTGAATCCTCACCTAGGATTTTTTTTTTTTGAGATGGAGCTCACTCTGTCGCCCAGGCTGGAGTACAGTGGCGCGATGTCGGCCCACTGCAACCTACGTCTCCTGGGTTCAAGCCATTCTCCTGCCTTAGACTCCTCAGTAGCTGGGACTGCAGGTGTGTGCCACCACGCCAGGCTAATTTTTATTTTTATTTATTTTTTTTGTATTTTTAGTAGAGACGGCTTTCACCGTGTTGGCAAGGATGGTCTCGATCTCCTCAACTTGTGATCCACCTGCCTCAGCCTCCCAAAGTGCTGTGATTACAGGCGTGAGCCACCGCCCCCGGCCCTCACCTTGTATTTTACTGAGATTAACTGGCACAGAATGGGTTGGAATCTAAACCTGAGTTCAAAGCCCATTAGTTTAATTGCTGTAACATCCTATCTTCCAAAGGGAGGCTCAGATACAGAAAAGTGGTTAGAAGGCTCCCGCAGCAGACTCGGGCTTTCAATGCGCCAGGCCCCACCCCTGCCAGGCGCGGTCCAGCACCAGCTGTTTCACCATTGACTCTCCCTTCTGTTCCAGGCCTGGCCTTCTCTGAGATCAAGGCCTTCCTTCGCCTCTACAACAACCTCTTCCTCCAGCCCCTTCCTTTCCCGTATGACTCCCATTTAGCAGCCAACCCAGCCTAAGGCCGCCTTATCCAAGGACTGCCCCTCAGAGGCTCCGCCCATCTTAGCCCCTCCAGGCTTGGCCTAGGAGCCTGTATTCATTCACTCTACAGGTGTCTCCCGTTCTAGGCTCCGGCCACGTAGGCCCTGCTCAGGAACCACCTCAACCTACTTCGCAGAGCTGCCTCCTGCCACAGAGACTCACGCGCTACATACTCCTCGCGGGACCCAACACAGTGCGCCGGACCACGCTCTTCCACAAGCCCCGCCCCACCACAGGCCCCACCCCAAGGCCCCGCCCACAGGCTCTGCCTGGCTCCCAAGAACACTTCCAGGGCTTACTCCTCCCGCTCCTAGGTCTCTCCAATTCCTTTTACATTTTCTGGAGTACTGTTTTGTTTTCTGTCGCTTGTTGTTTGTTTGTTTGTTTTGAGACGAAGTCTCGCTCTGCCGCCCAGGCTGGAGTGTAGTGGTGCCATCTCGGCCTTCTGCAGCCTCTGCCTCCCGGGTTCAAACGATTCTCATGTCTCAGGCTCTCGAGTAGCTGGGATTACAGGCGTGCTCCACGACGCCCGGCTAATTTTTGTATTTTTAGTAGAGACGGGTTTCACCCTGTTAGCCAGACTGGTCTGGAACTCCGACCTCAGGTGATCTGCCCGCCTCAGCCCCCGCAAAGTGCTAGGATTACAGGTGTGAGCCACCAAACCCGGCCAGGACTAACTCTTTAATTCAAAAAGATCCTTGTGGATATTCAGTATGAAAACAGTTGCACTATTGATGTCTCTTTCTCCCAATCGGCCCCAAAAAACTCCATCAAAGGAGAGTGCATTTTAAGCCACTAAGCTGCACCTAACAGACCTCGCAGAAAACCTGCCGGAAAGTAGAGACCGGGCAGGGAAAGACTTTCAAAGATCAGCAAATTGCTAGTGTCCTCTAACCTACCACACAGGGCGGATCACTCCGCCGCCTGCAGACTCCCGCCCATCCCACTGGACTCCACAGACCCCACTACACACCCCACCTCCTCCAAGGCAGCCTGAAATGCGTGCACAAGTTCCCAACCCCAATTCGGAGCCACATTAGGCCACTCCAAGCCACCATCAGCAACTAGCCCACGCCCCGCCTATGCCCCAAGCCCGACCCCTCTAAAAATCCCACCCAATCAACAAGCCCCACCCAAGTCTCAGGCCCCCGCCCCTCCCACCATCTGGCCGCCACTGGCCCAGCTCCAGCCCTGCCTCCACCGGCTAGAGTCCTACACACACCGTCCAGTCCCCTCCCGCGGGCCCCGCCCAGGCCCCACGAGCCCCGCCCAAGTCCCACGAGCCCCCGCCCAGGCACCGCCCACGAGCCCCGCCCAGGCTCCACAAGCCCCGCCCAGGTGCCGCCCACGGGCCCCGCCCAGGGCCTACGAACCCCGTCCATGTGCCGCCCACGAGCCCTGCCCAAGCCCCACAAGCCCCGCCCAGGTGCCGCCCACGGGCCCCGCCCAGGCACCACGAGCCCCGCCCAAGCCGCGCCGAATCCCCACAAGCCCCGCCCAGGTGCCACCCACAAACCCCGCCCCCTCCCCGCCCACACGCCCCGCCCATGTGCCGCCCACGGGCCCCGCCTCTCCGGCCCGGGGTCCCCGCCCCAGAGCCCCGCCCGCCGCTCACCTTCGCCGTCTGCCGCCCCGAAGGCCTCCTGCTCCAGGCGCCGCGCCTCCTCGCGGCCGCGCAGCTCGAAGCGCCGCGCCCAGCCGGGCCGCGCCCGCCACAGCTCCTGCACCAGCAGCGGGCGCTCGGAGTCGCCCAGCACGCGCAGGTGCTCCGCCCGCCACTCGCCGCTCCCCGCGCCCGCCGCCGCCGGCCGGCCCAGCGCGTCGCACAGAGCGAAGGCGTCCACGCAGCTGCTCTCGCCGGGGCCGCCGCCCGGGCTGCCCGCCAGGCCGTAGCGCTCTAGAGCTTCGGCCACGAGCTCGCGCGCCGTGGAGCGCGCCGTGGCCAGCACGCTCTTGTAGTTGGCGCCCGATGCCAGTCCCGCGCCGAAGATCTTGAGGACCCCCGGGGGCGCCGTGGCGCGGGTGACCAGCGGGGGCTCGGGGGCCACGCCCGCCGCCAGCTCGGGCAGCTTCTTCTCGCTAGCCCAGCGCTGCGCGCCGCCCGGGGTCCCAGGGCCTCCCGCGCCGCCGGACCCCGCGGTCCCGGTTCCCGAGCCCCGGAAGAGCTGGGAGATGCGCTTGGCGCGGCTACCAGAGGCCCCCCCGGCCGCCTTGACGGCGCCCACTCGCCGCAGCTCCACGTGCGGCGGAGGCGGGGGTATCGGCTCGCTGCTGCGGCTTCCCGTGTCCGACGAAGAAGATCTGGGAGTCGGCCGGGGAAGAGAGTCGCGGGAGAGAGACCCAGAAAGACATCCCAAGACGGGGGCGGGGGACAGATTAGGAGAGAAGTGGGCAGAGATCCAGAGAGAGAAGGACAGGGACCCAGGGTGGATGGACGCGGCGGGGGTGGGGATGAGGACAGAGACGCGAGGCAAAGAGAGAAAGAAATAATAAATAAATAAATAAATAAATAAAGGCAAGTCCCACAGAAGGAAAATTCCAAGAGGTGAGCAGGGAGGGGAGGAAGGAAGGTGAATCAATTCCCCGCTCCTTCTGTCCCCATCCCCGTGCCCATCCGGCCTCCCTCCACCTCCAGGCCTAGCTCTTCCCCTCGCCGCGCCCTGGTATGGCTGCGCCCCACCGTCTCCCCCTGCCCACCAGCTCGATTGCCCAATTCAGGACAAGGACCGGAGGCAACGCTTTGCAGGGACTGGGCCGTGAACAGGGACAGACGGGAGGCAGGTGTGCAGGGGGTGGAGTTCTGCAGAGATGGCACTCACTTGACAGAGGCCGCGCTGGGCCAGCGCCTTCCCAGCTTGGCCAGCTGCTTCCTGGGGGAATTGATCCACAGGCCGACGGGGAGATGAAGCTTCCCGAAGCGAGGGCTTCCGCCCTCCTTCCGTTCACCAGATAGCATGGCCCTAAGGGTGGGTGGGTAAGGCCCCAACTCCTAAGGCACTCTTGTGGGGATAGGGTGGAGCGAACCTAGACTCCGAGTCAGAGGGAGGAGGGGGCTGGGGTTCAGACTCCCGAGTCCAGGGGGAGGAGAGGGATGGGACCCTGGACTCCTGGGTCCTGGGATAGAAGATGGCTGGGGGACTGAGTCTTGGGGTCCAGGGAGGAATGGTATGGGCTGCTGGGTCCCCGGCTCTTACCCTGCTTCGGGTCCGGCACACCCGGAGGCCCTGGCTCCTCTGGCCTGGGTCAGTTCCACTGCTCTCGGTCAGCCTTGCCTCTGCCCCGGCTCCCAGCACTGGGTGGGGGACAGGAAAAGCCAAGAGGAAACCCGGCAGGAAGAGCGGGGAGGGGGCGTCCTGTGAGGAGACCAGGCCTGGGGGAGGAGATCTGGGTAGGGCTGGCCCTGCCCCATTCCTTGATTCTGGAATTACATCGCAGTCAGTTGGTCCCCTCCAGGACCCAGGGGTCCCAGTTTCCTGCCCCTCTTCCCTCAGGACGGAGCCCATCCCCGGACCTCTCCTCTCGGGGAACCGAAGGCTAGAATCAGTCCCGTCCCGGGGAGTGAGTCAGATGCTTAGACAACAAGATAAATCTTTATTGGTCCATCGAATCTGTGTCCTGTTCTTTGGGGACCTAGGGTTCCTCGTCGGCTCCACTGCCAAGGCCGAAGAGTGAGGACTTGATGAAATCGATCACCTTCCTTCGACGAAATATCCTAGGGGTGCGAGTGGGGTGCAGATCATGGTTAGGTACTTACTCATTGAGTGGGGGACACCCCTCCCAACACCCACCTTATTCTAACAACTATCTAAGCCTCGCCTCCTATGCAAGCCCCACCCCCCCATTGGGTTCCTGGAAGCCTCGCCCCTCACTCCAAGCCAAGCCTGCCTTCTTCAATGAGTTGCTCACGCAAAGGTAAGGCCAATTATCAGTGCTACGGAGCCCCAGATCAGCAGCCCCAGAAGGCGGCCTCTCAGCATGCTGTCTGGCTTCGGAGGCTGGAGGGTTATGGACGACTCCGAGGTCATCTCGGAGATCTGCGTAGGGCTGGCCTCCCCCAGGGTTACGATGTTTGGAGACGGGTTTTCCTCCTCGGCCCTTTTGGGCAACACTGTTAAAGAAAGCGTAAAGAGCAGTCTTGGCAGGGCGTGGAGTTCCTGCCCTGGCAAAGGCCAGCCCGTAAGAGTACCCAGCCATCCCAGGGATAATCACGCCTCCAACAGCGTCAAGCGTGAACACACCCAAGGGAACCCCTGTCCTCAGGGCCAAAGGCCACGCCCCCGGCAGGAAGCCACACCCCATGCCCTGAAACCACACCCAACAGGAAGTCACGCCCCCATCGCAGAGGCCACGCCCCCCGCAGCGGTTCCCCGGTTCCCCGGTTCCCCTACTCCCTCCGGACCCGGAATCCTACACTTCTCTCAACCTCACAGCACTGACCTGTGACGTGAAAAAGGATGATCGTGGCTGGGCTGGAATTCACGGTGCCCAGCTCACAGCGGTAGTCGCCTGCATCCTCTGGACCCACCACGGGCTTGGTCAGGGTGGGCTCTTTCCCCTTGGACACCAAGGTCTCAGTATTGTTCCCCCAAACCTAGACCCAAGCTCAAGGGGTCACTGAGGCCTGGGGAATTCAGGGGTTGGGGGAGTACTGGGGTGAGAAGATCACAGGGCCTCAGGATGGGAGGTGGATATCCAGGGTGTCATTGGTCAGGGCATGGGGTCCCCCGAGGTCGGTAGAGACCACACCTACTAGACCACCCTCCTGGGTCATGAGAGTCGTGAGTGCAGGACCATGGATCCAGAACACAAGCATTGCAGTCTAGGGAGTTCAAGGGTTGCAGAAGTTGCAATCCTCACCCTGTAAAAGCTGTAATCAGTGAGGCCCTCGGAAGCCTTATGCCAGTTTAACTCACAGTCCAGGATCATGTCTTCCATATGCGGAACCTCCACGTTGCGCTCTGGTGGTGGGGGGTGACCATGGGAGACTCCTGCACGGTTCTTATCCCTCCCTCGTCCTTTTTTTTTTTTTTTTTTTTTTTTTTTTTTTTTTTTTTTTTTTTGAGACGGAGTTTCGCTCTTGTTACCCAGGCTGGAGTGCAATGGCGCGATCTCGGCTCACCGCAACCTCCGCCTCCTGGGTTCAGGCAATTCTCCTGCCTTAGCCTCCTGAGTAGCTGGGATTACAGGCACGCGCCACCATGCCCAGCTAATTTTTTTGTATTTTTAGTAGAGACGGGGTTTCACCATGTTGACCAGGATGGTCTCGATCTTTTGACCTCGTGATCCACCCGCCTCGGCCTCCCAAAGTGCTGGGATTACAGGCTTGAGCCACCGCGCCCAGCTAACCCTCCCTCATCCTCTTACATCTTTTCTCTTCTTTTTCTTTTCTTTTCTTTTCTTTTCTTCTGTGTGTGTGTTTTGTTTGTTTGTTTGTTTTTAGATGGAGCCACTGCACCTGGTCTGTCTCTCTCTCTTTTTTTGTTTGTTTGTTTAAAGACAAGGTCTCACTCTTTTGCCTAGGCTGGAGTGCAGTGGTATGATCATAGCTCACTGCAGCCTCCAACTCCTGGGTCCAAGCAATCCTCCTGCCTCAGCCTTCCAAGTAGCTGGGACTACAGAAAGGCACCACCACACCCGGCTAACTTTTTAAATTTTTGGAGAGAAGGGGTCTCACTATGTTGCCCAGGCTGGTCTCAAACTCCTGCCTTCAAGCAAGCCTCCCGTCTCAGCCTCCCAAGGTGCTGGGATTGCAGGCGTGAGCCATTGTACCCAGCCTAAACCCTGCCTTTTCTTGTCTGCTGCTCCCACACCGCATCTAGGCTTGAGACTGTCTCTTCTCTGACCCCACCCCACCTGCACCAATTCCTCCTGCTGGGTCCAGTTCTCTCACCCCCGCAATCGTAGGACTTTCGGCAAGCGTGAACCTCCTTTTTGCAGTTCATGCACCAGATCAGAGTCTGCAGCATCATACCTGGAGGGGCGGGGTCAAGGCTTGTATTTGCCCAGTAAGAGCCATGGCTAAAAGGAGAGGTCAGGGCCAAGGGCTGGGGCCAGGTCATCTATGACATTCCTAGATGGTCAGGCAAAGGGACAGGGCCAGGACGCAGGTGGGTAGGAAGTGGGTGCCAACAAGGCTCAGTAAGGAGCATAAATAGAGGCCAGCCACGCTGGCTCCAGCCTGTAATCCCAGCACTTTGGGAGGCCAAGGTGGGCAAATCATGAGGTCGGGAGATCAAGACCACCCTGTCCAACATAGTGAAACCCTGTCTCTACAAAAAATACAAAAATTAGCTGGGCATGGTGATGGGCGCCTGTAATCCCAGCTACTCAGGAGGCTGAGGCAGGAGAATTGTTTGAACCTGGAAGGCAGAGGTGGCAGTGAGCTGAGATCATGCCACTGCACTCCAGCCCAGGCAACAGGGCGAGACTCTGTCTCAAAAAAAAAAAAAAAAGGCAAGTAGAATATGACCTGCTCCCCAAGAAATCCAAGGTGGAGAAAGTAGGCTGGAGACCCAGAAACCTCTCCAAGGCAGAGAATGGCAAAATCACCAGGATCCAAAAAGTTGAGTGGGGAGGTTCACTATTCAGAGGGCCGGACGAAGAGCAGAGGGTTAGCTTCTGTAATCCGGACTCACCACATTGATTGGGACAATAAGCTGTGTCAAAAGAGAAAAAAAGAGAGAGACAGAGAAAGAGATGCCAGAATCAGATTTCTAAATGAAAGACGATGGGAGAGGGGGTTGAGGAAAGCGCTGGGCTTTGGGCTCTTGGGTTAGAGGAGAAAAAGACTTGGGTCTGAAGGAGGAGGACTTGGAGAAGCTGCGAAACTGGGCTTGGGGAAGTAAGCGGCTGGAGACAAGGACTCTGGGATTGTGGGAAGAGGAGCTGGGGACACGGGCTCCCATCTTCTCTCACCCTCTCTTTGGAATCGAGCAACAGAGGTGGCGAAGGCTTCCTTTTGCAGGTGCAACATCCAAAATAGCTCCTTCGCGAAGAGATTGTCTGGGAAGACACAGCAACCCCCATCCCAGGTGTGAGGTGCTGGGAGTTCGCTTCTGCCTGCAGAGCCTGGCATTCCACCTTCCGGCCTTCTCAGGGAAGGGCACTAAAACTGACCGTCTAACATAATGCCAGCCCCTGGGCTAAGCAATGCATATTTGGGAGGATGGCGGGCCCAGGGTCTTACTCTGCCACCCAGGCTGGAGTGCAGTGGTGTGGTCATGACTCACTGCAGCCTCGACCTCCTGGGCTCAAGCAATCTTCCTGCCTCAACCCCCTAAGTAGCTGGGACTACAGGCACACACCACCGTGTGTGTGTGTGTGTGTGTGTGTATTTTTTGTAGAGACAAGGTTTCACTATGTTGGTCAGTCTGGTCTCGAACTACTGAACTCAAGCAATCTGCCTGCCTCAGTCTCCCAAAGTGTCAGGATTACAGGCATGAGCCACTGTGCCTGGCCAGCAATACACATTTAAACTGAACAAGTGAGGGAGCATTTTAGAGCCAAGGGAGTTTCAAAGTCCTTTGCTCAAGGCCATACAGCTAAGAAGTGGCAGAGCAGGGATTTGAACCTAGGCACTCTGGTTCCAGAGCCTAGTATCTGACCAAGAGACCAGGCATCACTAGCCCTGGGTTCCCTGAGAGATTCTGGATCCCCACTCCCTTGGTGCACTTACCTTTTACATCACTGTCTGTGATGCGTTTCAGATCCTTCAGCAAACTCCAGGAAGCCTTTTGCAGTGTGTCCTCATCTGTCGGGAGAGATACAACCCCAGATTCCAGCCTGACTGTCTCATTGGAGCGCCCAGTCTTAGAAACTACAATACCCATGAGGCCACTAGGCAAAGATAGCCCTGGTTAAGAGACCAGCCGCCCGTCGCCTTCTGGGAGTTGTAGTTTTATTACATAAAATTGAAGGCTAAAGATAGGGAATACAAAAAAGAAGAAGATAGGGAAAACAATATTTACTAGCCCTGGGGAACCTCGGAATCTGCATCTCGGCCTTCTCCATTCCTGAATCCCGGAGACCCTGCTGTCAGCCTCTTCCTCCCCCTGATATTATCCCCCTCCTTCCTAGGACCCCGGGGTCTGGGCTCCCCCCACGTCCTCACCGATGACCCCCATATAGGCATCCTCAGTAAACGACAGATTCTGGAAATCTGCCACAGCCTTCTCTACTTTATCCATTAAGGTTTTGTGAAGGCTCGCATCCAGGTGGCCCGGCAGGTAATCCTTCTCCAGGGACTTCAGCGCCAGCACGACAGACGTGTCACAGATGACACAGCCCTCGGCAGGAAGTAAGCAACATGCCAGCGCCGAAAACAGGAGGGTAAAATGCGGCCCCATTGCAGCCAGCGCGCAGTTCTCGGAGACCGTCAGGAAGGGTGCTCTCCCCTCAAACTGAGAGCAGGAGAACGCTAAAGGGACAGAAGCCAAAGCCCATCTTAAGGAACCCCACTGGGCCACCCTATCCATGGGGTCCCCAAACCGCAAAACGAAGATCTTCAGGAAATCTCCAACTAAAGAGTACGTATGTCCTTCAAATGCCTCCAAAGGGTGAAACTGAGCCCCAATCCAGGGGACCCCAAATTTAGGGTTCTCAGTGCATCCCAACTGAGGGATCAGAAAAACTGTTAAACAGGAAGCACTCATAAGTCTCCAAACTCAGGACCTGGAATCTTCCAACCCCCTGTGGCCCTTCCCAGACTCCAAAACTATGGGATTTACAGGTCCCCAAATTGATGTGATCCTGAACGCCAACCCTTAAATACAACACCGAGGCACTCCTCTGGCAGCCCACCAAAACCTGTTGAACCTCAAGCTGAAAATTCAATGCCCAAACCAATCAATCAACGAATACAGACCCAACCACATTATCAAACTCCAAACTCCTCCAAAACCAAAACACGTTCCAAATTCCTAAACCTGGGGACTCCACTACACACTTAAGACTCAAGCGATCCTCCAGACCCAGGGGGTGCTTGTTCACCCTTCCCCAAGACTAACGGACTCCCAAGTTGCAGCTCGCACCTTTCTGCTTAGAAAAAGGAGCGCCAGCCAGGCGCGGTGGCTCATGCCTGTAATCCCAGCACTTTGGGAGGCTGAGGCGGGAGGATCACAAGGTCAAGAGTTCAAGACCAGCCCGGCCAAGATGGCGAAACCCTGTCTCTACTAAAAATACCAAAAACTAGCCGGCCGTGGTGGCGCGCGCCTGTAATCCCAGCTACTCCTCGGGAGGCTGAGGCAGAGAATTGCTTGAACCCGGGAGGTGGAGGTTGCAGTGAGCCGAGATCGCGCTACTGCTCTCCAGCCTGGTCGACAGAGTGAGACTCCGTCTCAAAAAAAAAAAAAAAAAAAAAAAAAAAAAAAGGAAAGAAAAGAAAAAGAGCCCCGCTGCGCCCTGAACAGTGATGCAACCGAAACAGGGCGATTCCTGACTTTTGTCTTCTAACAGTAGGTTTCATCGGGAGATGCAGTCCAGGTTCTGAGGGCTTTTAAAGAGGAACCGGGGGTCAGGACCACCTACGCTAATTTTCCAAGGGCTAAAATCAAGGATTTTGTTGGGGACGCGGGTAAGGTTGGTTGCGTGAAATCGAGAGCTTTTCTGAGTCACGGAGGATCGCCTCTCTACAAGGAACTCCTGCAGTCTCCTCCCAGCTTCTCAGCCTGAATTCCCTTAGAGCTATTCCGTGGGATTTTCCTCGGCCCCGCCCAGAAACCCAGCTCTGTCTGATTGGACTGTAACAAAGGGATGCCCCGCCTCTCGCTCTATGACGTCACAGAGATTGCAGCCTTTTCAGACTAGAACTTTCCCAGCATCTGCCGAAGAGAAAGCCTCCTGACTGCTCTGGCTTCCAGAGTCGAGAACCAGGCTCTGGCCTTCAGCTTCCTCTCCTCCCACTGCCCCGGGACCCAATCTTTGGGGTAGATCCGGCGCCCCAGGCCGCTGCCGACCCTATTACTGACCTTAGAAACGGCAGTCGAGCCGCGAAGTGAACGGTTTAACCCTAGGACTACGACTCCCAGAATGCCTTGGGTCTCCTTGTCCGTAGCTGATTAGCGCTGCCCAACCCCATACTTTGCGGGAAATGTAGTTCAATGATTATCTGTTTGCTCGCTCCTGCCACCGCCTCTTCTCCCCACGCGGAGGTCCCAGTGGGAGGAGAGGGCTGGGGGCCAATACTGAGGGTCCAGGAGAGAGCAACTGGGGGCTCAGACCTTTGGGCCCTGGAAGGTCTCTCTCCCCTGTGTGGTCCAAACAGGGAACCAGAAAAACCAAGGCGCACAAGTCCAGCAACAAGGGGCTGTCAGATCTAAGTAGGGACAGTACTCTCAGTCTCAAGTAATAAAAGTCCTCAAGGCCGGGCACAGTGGCTCACGCCTGTAATCCGAGCACTTTGGGAGGCCGAACCGGGCGAATCACGAGGTCAGGAGATCGAGACCATCCTGGCCAACATGTGAAACCTCATCTCCACCAGAAAAAAAAAAAAAAAAAAAAAGCTGGGCGGGATGGTGTGTGCCTGTTGTCTCAGCTGCTTATGAGGCTGAAGCAGGAGAATCGCTTGAACTGGGGAGGTGGAGGTTGCAGTGAACCCAGATCATGCCACTGCACTCCAGCCTAGCCACAGAGCAAGACTCCGTCTCCAAAAAAAAAAAAAAAAAAAAGCCTTAGAAGCGCCCCCCTTTCCTCCACTCTTACCCACTTACACACACACACACACACACACACACACACACACACACACACACAGAGAATTCTTGTTCCAAAAAAGCCGCAGAGACAGGGATTGGTGCTGTGGGCTTTTAATTCATACCTCCTGCTCTCTTACCTATGGCAGCTGAGTTGGGAACTGTATTGTAACTGTACAATTTCACTGTAACTGTAACTCCCTGAGAAGCCTCGAGGAAGGATGAGTAGATGGGGGATGTGATCAGAGTTGACTCTTCTTTCACCCTCCAAAAAAACAGCAGGGGACTCCCGAGATCTCAACAATCCTGTCCACCTTGGCCAGACCGCGCCCTCCTGCCTGGGTTTGAGGCTGGGTCCAAGGTCTGCATACCTTTGGATCCTTTTATCCCAGACCTGCCCAAAGCCAGAGGTAGTGATTTCATGAATTTAGGGGCAGACAATGATTAGCAATGAGCACAACACCTGCCAGCTTTTCACAAGCACAGAGGGTGTGTTTATGCCTACACACTTCCGGAAAACAGATCCCAAACCCCCAGCCGCCCCACCTGCAGAGAAAGACCAACTTTCTTCATTGTGAGCGGCAACCTGAACTCAGAGTCAATAATATGCAGGTCTTGGCAGTTCACGATTTTAAAAAAAGAAGTGTTCTTGGATGCCTGGAAAGTTCTGCTCCAGAAGCTGCACCATTGAGCAGTGATTCCCTCACCCCACCTTCACATTTTAGCCTGTCGACTCAAAACAAATGAAAAAAAGTCTTTGAGGGGCTGGGGACCGGGTTGGACAGATTCCCACTCTGCTCAACAACTACCCCAGTTTTTCCAGAGACTGTGAACAGAGCAAGACACTGACCAACTAGAGATGGTTTGTCTTTCATGTCTTTGATCTTTCCAGCAATGCTGGGCACTGAGCTTCTAGTTGTACATTCATTAGATTCTTCACTTGGCCACGTCTGTAATCCCAGTATTCTGGGAGGCCAAAGTGGGAGGACTGCTTGAGGCCAGGAGTTCAACAACAGACTGGACAATATCACAAGGTCTTGTCTCTACAAAAATAAAACATTAAAAAAAAAAAAAGTTAGCTGGGCCAGGCACGGCGGCTCATGCCTGTAATCCCAGCATTTCAGGAGGCTGAGGCAGGTGGATCATGAGGTCAGGAGTTTGAGACCATCCTGGCCAACATAGTAAAACCCCGACTCTGCTAAAAATACAAAAATTAGCCAGGTGTAGTGGTGTGCATCTGTAGTCCTAGCTATTCAGCAGGCTGAGGCAGGAAGATCCCTTGAGCTGAGGCATTTGAGGTGACACCACACTCCAGACTCCAGCCTGGGCAACAGAGCAAGACCCTGTCTCCAAAACCAAAAAACCAAAAAGATTCTTCACCTTAGTTATCTGGATTTCCAGAACCCCATCCCCTCCAGAAGGGCCCTGCAGGGTTCTTCATAGGCATCGAACCTGGCCCTCTCTAGAACAAGTCTTCCTCTAGAATCACTTCAGAAACACAGAATGGGACTCGCTGAATGCTTGCTCTGGACCAACCATGTGTTCCCTCAGTCTTCTGAGGACCCAGGGGAGCCGTAAACCTTTTCTAGAAAAGAGCAGAGGGAGAGTTTTCTATTCCTGGGGGCAGCCATCTGGAACTACTCTAGATATGGGCTGGGAAGAGCAGGTGGGCACTGTGGCTTCTAGAACTGCCTGCCAGCCATCAGAAAAAAGACATTTTGCTAGTTCTAGATGTTCAGACAGTTCCAGAAAGGTCCCCCTTCTCTCCAACTCTCCCAACTAGAATCGCTCTGGAAAAGGGTGCCCATTGGCTTCAGGAACACCATAAGCTTCTCCAGAAGAGGCCAGGCTCCTGGAGCCACAGACTGCTGGCTCTAGAAAGATCAGGCTATTCCGGAAAGTCTCCCCAGCTCTCAAGGTTCAGCCAGTGGCCAGAGTGGAGACAGGTCTGCGTTAATGCCCACCCACTCGGGCAGGAAGGCGGCCTCGGGCTTAAAGATCTTCAGGAACTCAGAGTCTGGCAGGGTGAAGTTGGCCAGGTAGACAGTGTCTCCGCCAGCCAGGTAGGCAGCCCAGAAGCCGAAGGTGCCGATGGTCATGATGGTGTGGTTGCACTGCGCGAGCAGGGCAAAGTCTTTCCACGGCGAAGCCTCCTGTCCGTCGCCGGCAAACATCACGTCGCCCTTGGAGGCGTCGATGTTTTCTCTACACCACTCCATGCCGTTGCTGGTGACCACAAACACCGGGGCTTCGTGCCGTGCCCGGAACCAGTCCATGGCCTCCCGGAGGTAGGCGCTGTTGGCCACCACGCCCTTCCAGCGCTGCGGCATCACCTGCAGGTAGTCCCCACGGCGCACGTGGACGCCCACGAAGGTGCGCGGCCGGGCCCCCGAGCGCCCCAGGCGGAGCCGCCGCAGCACGCTCTGCGCCTCTTCGCGAAGGTGGTCGTGCAGCGTGAACTCACTGCGGATCTGTTCCCGGAGGTGATGGAAGAAAGTCCAGGAGCAGGGGAAGCCGGAGAGCTTCAGGAAAGGATCCCCCAAGTCTGCATACTCCTCCGACATCCAGTCGTGAAGCCGCAGCTCCTGCCAGGGCGTGCGGCTGTCCACCTCTGGGGCCAGCACGGGCAGCGTGATGCGGAAGACCGGGGCCAGCGCGGCGTGCATGGCGGGCAGGATGAAGGCTCGGCGGCCGTTGAGCTGGGCCAGAGCCAGCAGCGTGGCATACTGCCCCATCTGGTTACCAAACCGGCCATCGGGGTAGATAGTCCAGGTGCCGGAGAGGGAGGCAGGGTGCTGGGGACAGGGAGAGGAGGTGTTGGGGCTCATCGGGGTACCCGGCAGACAAAAGATGGCCACGGCGGGTGTCACCAGGCGGCGGTCTGGACACAGGACCGACAGGCCTAGGCCGTGTCGAATGCTGTCTTGGTGGAAGTGGATGAGGAAGGAGATTGCAGAGAGGACACAGACTAGCAGGAAGGCCAGACAGAGGTGACGATGGCTCCGCGGCCACATGGCTGCAGGGGAGGAAAGGAGAATTAGCAGATGCGCAGAGGCTGAGCAGGGCCGGCTGAGGAGCGATGGGAGAGGAGAGGGAGGCCTGGGTTTCATTTTCTCTCCATCCCAGGGAAAGAGGAAGTTAAAGGTTTACAGTCCTTGGGCTGAGTTAGGGAGAGTCTGAGTCCTAGATTTGAGGGATGAGAGCTTTGGGATCTCTGGGCATGGGAAATAGGAAGACAGGGAAGTGGTTTTCAAGGTAGCCATGGTTTGGCTGGGCACTGCGGCCCACACCTGTCAGCCCAGCATATTGGGAGCTGAGGGAGGATCTCTTGAGCCTGGGAGTTCCAGATCAGCCTGGGCAACAGAGCAAGATTCTACTTTAACATAAAAAAAAAAAAAAAAAATTAAAATTAGCTTGGCATGGCCTGGGCGTGGTGGTTCAGGCCTATAATCTCAGCACTTTGGGAGGCCAAGGCAGGCGGATCACCTGAGGTCGGGAGTTCAAGACCAGCCTGACCAACATGGTGAAACCCCATCTCAACTAAAAATACAAAATTAGCCGGGTGTGGTGGCGCATGCCTGTAATCCCAGCTACTCAGGAGGCTGAGGCAGGAGAATCACTTGAACCCAGGAGTAGGAGGCTGCTGTGGGCCGAGATCACACCATTGCACTCCAGCCTGGGCAAAAGAGTGAAGCTCCATCTCAGAAAGAAAGAAAGAAAGAAAGAAAGAAAGAGAGATAGAAAGAAAGAAAAAGAGAGAGAAGGAGGAAGGTAGGGAGGGAGAGAGGGAGGGAGGGAGGAAGGAGGAAAGGAAAGAGAAAGAAGAAAAAAGAAAAAGAAAATCAGCTTGGCATGATGGCATGTGTCTGTGGTCTCAGCTACACAGGAGCTATGTATGGTGAGTGCATCCCACTGTAAACCACGATAGCACTGCTGCACTCCAGCCTGGGAGATAGAGAGGGACCCTGTCTAAAAACCAAACCAAACCAAACAACAAAAAACAAAGCAAAACACACCGATAGCCATGGTGCAGCTTTCTGCACCTTTCCTGCAGGAATCTCGAGTCTCCCCTCCTGTAAGGTCCACTGATCCCTCCTTCCACCAGCCTGATTCTCAGGGGTACCTGCCTGTGAGGGGCACAATCCACCACAGAGGTGTGGATGGGAAGAAACAGCCCATGTGAAACAAGAGAGGCTGGAGGATCAGGAGCGAAAGGAGGATCTTGGTCCCGGAGGAGTAATGGCTGGGGAGGTGGTGGAGAGTCCGAGGGCCTTAGGAAGACCTGGAGAAGAGGCTGGGGTTGTACCTCTTCTTCCGGCTCTGAAGGAGCTGTTCCTAGGTCCCAGGCACCCGCAGTCCCCACTTACCTGAGCTCCTTGAAGGGGGCAGATCCACGCTTCGGGTGGCCAGAGCTCGCCGTCCGCCAAGGCTGGCCATATCCGGCGGCCCCAGGAACGCCAGGCGCCCGGCTCTCCGGCCCCGCAGCCCTTCCCTCCGCGCAGCCTGCCCGGACTGGCAGCGAGGGCTTGCGGAGGGGAGGAAGGAGGGGGCGCGGCCAGGAGGTTAGCAGCCTCCGCCCTCCCGGGCCGGACAGGTGCCAAGAAGATGGAGCCCCGCCCCTCCTCTGACGCCGAGCCCCAGTGCCCGGGGCTAGGGCGATGGCCCCTGGACCCACCACTGCCCAGATCCGGGATGCAAGGGACCGCGGCCCGCCCCGCCGCCCCGGCATTGACCTGCAAGAGAACTTCACCCCGGGCAGCTTACCTGGCTTCCGAGCAGCCGCCGCATCCTTGCGTGGACCCGGAGGCCGCGCGCCCAGCTGCAAAGCTGGAGCCGGGAGGTCCAATCCGCCGCCCTATCCTTCCCGGCGCCAGGGCTTAGAGTCGGCCCCAGGCACCTGGGTGCTTCGAGCCTGGCCACGCCCCAGCGGCCGGGCAGGGCCCCCGCACCTGGTCCTGGCGAGTGAGGCGATCCTCCGCCTCCTGCCGCGTCCTCCCCGGGGATGGAGAACCTGTTTGCCAGGCTGCCGCGGGAGCGCACGGGGGGCTTCCAGCCTGCAGGTGTCCCCGCGCCCACCAGGGTCTCTGATCTCGCACCCACCACCCCGTCCACACTTAAATTCCAGAATCCCCAGCCTCTAGTGGCTCCTTTTGGAGAATTCTAGGGTCCCGTGCCACACTGCTACCTTCCAAACCTGCACTGCGCGGAAGCAGCCATTCCAACAGTGAAGACTGGAGGGGCACAGGGTCTGCTTCCCGGGCCGTCGGCAGCGCCCGTGGCGGCGGGCACCAGGAACGGAGGCCTCTGCCTGCGTGTCACTTAAAGCATTTTCTCTGGTCCAAGGCCCACCTCCAGCATCGCCAACCCGGAGCAGGGCATGCTGACCCTCCACTCAACATACATCAGTGTCAAGGACTCAGGAGTTCGACTTGATTCCCAGAAGTTTAACCATCATCTCTCCAAGCTCAGGACTCCAAGCACCCAAGACCCTTCCCCTCACACCCAGAAGTCCCGCCCCTCCTCCCTCAGACCCAGGAGTTCAGATCCCCAACCCCTCCTCCCTCAGACCCAGGAGTCCAGACCCCAACCCCTCCTCCCTCAGACCCAGGAGTCCAGACCTAAGACCTCTCCTTTCTCAGACCCAGGAGTCCAGACTCAGGACCCCTCCTCCTTCAGACCCAGGAGTCCAGACCCCAACCCCTCCTCCCTCAGACCCAGGAGTCCAAGTCCCCTGCCCCTCCCCCCTCAGATGTAGAAGTCCTATCCTTGCACTCTTAGGGGCTCCAGGAAGTTAGCCAGCCTGTCTTCCCTCTGGGTGCCCATTTCAGAGCCTGGCTCGGCTGCCAACACCAGTCCGAGACGCTCACCCACCCCTCCCCCCAGGTTATTTTAGGAGCACCTGCCTGAGCCTGGCATGGCTTCTCTGGTGAAAGAAACACCAGGATTGCATCAGGGAGGAGGATGCTGCGATGCCCAGGGTCCGAGCATCTGAGCAGGGGCAGAGGAGGCTGAGGTCGGCCCACAGCCAGGCGAGAGGCTTCCAAGGCAGGGCACCGTGTCTCTCCCGAGGTCACTTTTTCATACAGCAATTGCCACCTTGCTGAGGATCAAGGAAACTGTGTCAGACCATGCCCTCCCCTCAAACTTAGAAATTCAGATAGGGGTCAGAAATTTCCCTTGTTCTGGAGATCTGCATGAATGAGCCAAGAGGTGGTTTTTCCAGGATCCCAGCTCCCCTCCTTCCTCCAACTCAGGAGCTCGAGACCCCAGATCCTTCTCTCTGAGACTCAGGAATCTGGGCGCCCAGCCCCTTTCATCTGAGTCCCAGCTAACCCGATTCTCTTCTCCCTCGTCTCCTAGACTCAGGAGTCCAGCCCCCCATTGAAAGGACCCCCAGATTGCATCATCCATCCATTCAGGCTGCCCTTGCCACGATGGAATTCTAGCTCCTGCCAAGTGGGTCAAATATCATGGTTCAGGCGCAGGGAGGCTGATTGGGCGGAACTGTCTGGTTATAAATTCTGGAGCTCCTGCATCTATCCCAAAACACAGGGGTGTCCTGTCAGCTAAGGATCCACCTGAAAGAGGACCCAGGCCCTCAGGGCACCTGAGCAGCGATCTGTGGGTCTGCTCACCGGGACAAGCAGAATCTGGCACGGATCTAGACCACTCAGCTTCTCCCACTCACACCCTGGACGTCGCCTGAGGACCTGAGCCATTGATGGGCTCGGAGGAGGTCGCGTTGGAGCGCCCTGCACTGTGGGTCTCTGTGTTGGCTGGTCTCCTGCTGGGAACCTGCCAGGCATACCCCATCCCTGACTCTAGTCCCCTCCTGCAATTTGGAGGCCAAGTCCGGCAGCGGTACCTCTACACAGATGACGCTCAGCAGACAGAAGCCCACCTGGAGATCAGGGAAGATGGCACGGTGGCGGGGGCTGCCCACCAGAGCCCCGAAAGTGAGTGTGGGCCAGGGCCTGAGTCTGAGGGAGGAGGGGCTGGGGTCTGGACTCCTGGGTCTGAGGGAGGAGGGGCTGGGGCCTGGACTCCTGGGTCTGAGGGAGGAGGCGCTGGGGCCTGGACTCCTGGGTCTGAGGGAGGAGGCGCTGGGGTCTGGACTCCTGGGTCTGAGGGAGGAGGGGCTGGGGCCTGGACTCCTGGGTCTGAGGGAGGAGGCGCTGGGGTCTGGACTCCTGGGTCTGAGGGAGGAGGCGCTGGGGTCTGGACTCCTGGGTCTGAGGGAGGAGGCGCTGGGGTCTGGACTCCTGGGTCTGAGGGAGGAGGGGGCTTCGCCTGGACTCCTAGGGCTGGGACAGAGCAGGGTGGAAGAGTTCCTCTAGGCCAGGCGTCCCCAGACTTTTTACACAGGGGGCCAGTTCACCGTCCCTCAGACCATTGGAGGGCCGCCACATACTGCGCTCCTCTCGCTGACCACCAATGAAAGAGGTGCCCCTTCCTGAAGTGCGGCGGGGGCCAGATAAATGGCCTCAGGGGGCCGCATGCGGCCCGAGGGCTGTAGTTTGGGGACGCCTGCTCTAGGCGCCTTACCGCTTTCTTCCCTTAGGTCTCTTGCAGCTGAAAGCCTTAAAGCCAGGGGTTATTCAAATCTTGGGAGTCAAGACCTCCAGGTTCCTGTGCCAGAGGCCGGACGGGGCCCTGTACGGATCGGTGAGTTTCCGGGACCCTCCTCAGCACCCACTGCTCCTCCTGGGTCCGTCCTCACGGCCAGGGGTGCCCTGTCTTGCTCATCCCCCAGAGCCAGACTATTCTAGTCGCTCTGCACGCCCTGAACTCATGGCAACCTTTGGAAGTTGAGGTTGTTGTCATCAGTGTTTGCAAGATGAGGAAACTGAGGCCCAGGCCAAGGCACCATGAACTCAATCATGTGACGTGTGGAGCCAGCCTGGCCTGAGACTCAGGGATGATCGTCTCGTTCTCAGTGACACCTGCCCCTGCCCACATGGTCCCTGTGAGCACAGCTCATGCTGGGCACAGGGACACTCGGGGAAGCCATGGCCAGGAAAGTGACCAGGATCTTGGGTGCTAGGGGAACCCCCCAGCCTGGCCTGAGAGAGCACTGACTGCTCCGAGGGCTGGAACGCTCTTCTCTCTGAAGTCTGCACTGACAGCCGGGGCCCTGCAGGACTGATCTGGGGTAGAAAAGCAATCTCCTGTCAGTGTTTGTTACCTAGAGGGGCTGGGCCTGGACTCCTGGGTCTGAGGGAGGAGGGATGGGCCTGAATCGTGGGTCCTGCAACAGGAAAACATAGAGGAACGCTGTCTCTGATCCTGTTCTTTGTCTGCTAGCTCTACTTTGACCCCGAGGCCTGCAGCTTCCGGGAGCTGCTTCTTGAGGACGGATACAATGTGTACCAGTCCGTGGCCCACAGCCTCCCGCTGCACCTGCCGGGGGGCAGGTCCCCACCCTGGGACCCTGCACCTCGAGGACCAGCTCGCTTCCTGCCGCTACCAGGCCTGCCCCCCGAACCCCCCGAGGCGCCAGGAATCCTGGCCCCCGAGCCCCCCGATGTGGGCTCCTCAGACCCTCTGAGCATGGTGGGGCCTTCCCAAGGCCAAAGCCCCAGCTACACTTCCTGAGGTCACGGGCTGTTTACTGTTGCATCTCCTCTTTATTTATTAGGTTATTTATCTTATTTATTTTTTTATTTTTCTTACTTGAGATAATAAAGAGTTGGAGAGGAGGCTAACCGTGAACATGTGTGAGTGTCTGAGGGAAGAAATGGGATCTGCTTCCTTGTCGCCCTTCCAGCCCCCCTTCATGTTAGTCTGGCGTCCTGGCTTCCCGCTGGGCCTAACTTTTCTATCCTGCTAAAGTGTCCCCAGGGAGTCTGGGCTATCCCTGCTCTTTGAGAGGGCAAGACTGGCCGGGCGCAGTGGCTCATGCCTGTAATACCAGCACTTTGGGAGGTCAAGGCAGGTGGATCACAAGGTCAGGAGTTCAAGACCAGCCTGATCAACATGATGGTGAAACCCCATCTCTACTAAAAATACAAAATTAGCTGGGCATGGTGGTGGCACATGCCTGTAATCCCAGCTATTCAGGAGGCTGAGGCAGGAGAATAGCTTGAACCCGGGAGGCGGAGGTTGCGGTGAGCCCAGATCGCACCACTGTACTCTAGCCTGGATGACAGAGCAAGACTCAAAAAGTCTCTAAATAAATAAATAAATAAATAAATAAGCCGGGCTTGGTGGCTCATGCCTATAACCCCAGCACTTTGGGAGGCTGAGACAGGATTACACGTGTAAGCCACTGTGCCCAGCATTTATTTATTTATTTATTTTTTAAGACGGAGTTTTGCTCTTGTTTCCCAGGCTGGAGTGCAGTGGCGCCATCTCGGCTCACCGCAACCTCTGCCTTCTGGGTTCAGCCAATTCTCCTGCCTCAGCCTCCCGAGTAGCTGGGATTACAGGCATGCGCTACCATGCCCAGCTAATTTTGTGTTTTTAGTAGAGACGGGGTTTCTCCACATTGGCCATGCTGGTCTCGAACTCCTGACCTCAGGTGATCTGCCTGCCTCGGCCTCCCAAATTGCTGGGATTATAGGAGTGAGCCACCGCGCCGGCCCTATTTTTATTTTTATTATTTTTGAGATGGAGTCTCTGCTGCCAAGGCTGGAGTACAGTGGCACGATCTCACTGCCACCTCCGCCTCCCAGGTTCAATCAATTCTCCTGCCTCAGCCTGGGACTACAGGTGTGTACCACCACGCCCAGAACGGACTCCGGCTGGGACTCCTTCTTGCGTTCCTTATGTAATGCGTGTCATAGATTCCAGTCCTAGCAAGCACACTGCCCGGTCTCCCTCCCCTCACACAACTGAGATTTCCATATTGTCCTTCAAGTTACTTCTTGGTGGGAAGGAAGCGGGCCTGGGCCAGCCCCCGCATCTGCAGCCCAGGGTGGAATCTGTCACCTCGGACCCTTTGTGTTAAGTCCAAAGTTCAAGTGAGAGAAACGTGGAAGTTGAAAGGGCATAACTGTGGGTGGCCGAGGGCAGTGGAGGGATAAATGAAAGTCAGCATCTGTAGAAAGTGCAGCTTTCCACTTCGATAGCACAAGCCCGGCTCAGTCAAGGGAAAGAAACAATTTGAAATTTCACAAAGCTTCCAGGCAGTGGTTTAGGCCCCGGGGGTGACTCAGGTGAGACATTAGCTCCTTGTCAGAAAAGTCCACCTCCTGCTGTCAAGAAAAAGTGAGGTGGGCAGTGTGAAAAGAATGTGAGAGCCCTGGGCACCATCAAGACCTGGTTCCCACTGGCCCGCCATGCCAGGTTGGAGACCAGGAGACACGGACCCAGAGGGAAGGGAAGAGACAGACACCCAGAAAGAAGGGGGATGAGGGACCTGATGTGTGTGCAGAGATCCAGAGGAGGAGACAAAGACCTAGAGAGAGGGGGAAAGAGATCCAGAGAGAGAGAGAGAGAGAGAGAGAGAGAGAGACCCAGAGAGAGAGGGGGGACAGAGACTCACTGACAAGGGAGACGGAGACCCAGAGAGAGGCGGACAGAGACCCAGACAGAGGAGGGACAGAGACCAAGAGAGAGAGGTGGACAGAGACCCAGAGGCGGGGAACAGAGACCAAGAGAGAGAAAGGGGGACAGAGACCTAGACAGAGAAAGGGACAGAGACCCAGAGAGAGGGGGACAAGGACCCAGAGAGAGGGGGGACAGAGACCCAGAGAGAGAGGTGGAAAGAGACCCAGAGAGAGAGGGGGACAGAGACCCAAAGAGAGAGGGGGACAGAGACCCAAAGACAGAGGGGGGACAAAGACCCAGAGAGAGAGGTGGACAGAGACCCCGAGAGGGGGGTACAGAGACCCAGAGAGAGAAAGGGGGACAGAGACCCAGAGTCGGGGACACAGACCCAGAGAGAGAGGTGGAAAGAGACCCAGAGAGAGAGGGGAACAGAGACCCAGAGAGAGAGGTTGGACAGAGATCCAGAGAGAGAGGTGAACGGAAACCGAGACAGGGGGCGACACAGATCCAGAGAGAGAGGGGGACAGAGAACCAGAGAGAGAGGAGGCGACAGAGACCCAGAGAGAGAGAGGAGGACAGAGACCCAGAGAGAGAGAGGGGGACAGAGACCCAGAGAGAGAGGGGGACAGAGACCCAGAGAGAGGGGGACAGAGACCCAGAGAGAGACGGGGGTGGACAGAGACCCAGAGAGAGACAGGGGAGACAGAGATCCAGAGAGAGAGGTGGACAGAGACCCAGAGAGAGAAGTGGACAGAGACCCCAAGAGAGAGGGGGACAGAGACCCAGAGAGAGACAGGGACAGAGATCCAGAAAAGGGGGTGGACAACAGAGATCCACGGCGGGGGGGGACAGAGACCCAGAGAGAGAGAGGTGGACAGAGACCCAGAGAGAGAAGGGGACAGAGACCAAGAGAGAGAGGGGGACAGAGACAGAGAGAGAGAGGGGGACAGAGACAGAGAGAGAGAGGGGGACAGAGACAGAGAGAGAGAGGGGGACAGAGACAGAGAGAGAGAGGTGGACAGAGACCCAGAGAGAGGGGGACAGAGACCCAGAGAGAGAGAGGAACAAAGACCCAGAGAGAGAGGGGAACAGAGACCCAGAGAGAGGGCACAGAGATCCAAAGAGAGAGAGGGACAGAGACCCAGAGAGAGAGGTGGAAAGAGACCCAGAGAGAGGTGGACAGAGACCCAGAGAGAGGGGGACAGAGACCTAGCAAGAGAGAGGGTGACCGAGACCCAGAGAGAGAGGGGGACAGAGACCCAGAAAGAGGGGGACAGACATCCAGAGAGAGGGGAACAGAGACCCAGAGAGGGGGACAGAGATCCAGAGAGAGAGGGGGACAGAGACCCAGAGAGAGGGGGACAGAGACCCAGAGAGAAGGGGACAGAGACCCAGCGTGAGAGAGGGTGACAGAGACCCAGAGAGAGGGGGACAGAGACCCAGAGAGAGAGGGACAGAGACCCAGAGAGAGGGGAACAGAGACCCAGCGTGAGAGAGGGGGACAAAGACCCAGAGAGAGGGGGACAGAGACCCAGAGAGAGAAAAGGCAGGAAGGAAAGCTGAGAAATGTGTTCAAATGTACACACTTCACTGTATCTGAGCGCCTTGCACTCAAAATCCTGTCGCCCCCCTTCTAGCAGGAGCCCCTTTCCTCATCTGGACCGTCTGGGGTCCCGCGTCGGCCAGTCCTCCACAGGGTCCAGCCCACCAGCTCTTGAAGCTCTAGACCTGCATCCAGCCCCAGCTCCTGGCCGGCCGCACAGGCTGAGCTGCACCGAGTGGCGGTCAGGAGCCCCCATAGGCACCCGGAGAAGCGCAGGCCCGTCCTTGCCCACCGATATTGACAAGAACCCACACTGAGAGGCTGCTCTGGGACGGGGTATCTGGGGGATGGTGGGCCAGGATGGAAGCAGTTGAATGTTGAATTGGGTGAATTTATTGACAGAGATTCCACACTCAAGCATTGGCTGTAGGGGCTGCGGGTGACTCTAGATTGCTCTTTGATTGAGTAAAATCTGAATCCCAAATACTTTGTAAAAGTTGGCCAGGTGCAGTGGCTCGCGCCTGCAATCCCAGCACTTTGGGAGGCTGAGGGGAAAGGATTGCTTGAGGCCAGGAGTTTGAGACCAGCCTGGGCAACATAATGAGACACCATCTCTACAAAAATTAAAATTTCAGCTACCCTGGAGGCTGAGCGGGGAGGGAAAGCGATGGTGGCTGTGCCACTGCAGTCCAGCCTGGGCGACGTAGTGAGATCCGGTCTCTAAAAAATAACAAAATAGACGAGCCATGTGGCTCATGCCTGTAACCCCAGCACTTTCGGAGGCTGAGTGGGGAGGACTGTTTGAGACCAGGAGTTTGAGACAAGCCTGGGCAATATATCGAGACTCTTGTCTCTACAAAAAATACAAAAATTAGCCAGGTGTGGTGGCACATGCCTGTGGCCCCAGCTACTCAGGAGACTGAGGGGGGAGGCTGAGTGGGGAGGCTCACCTGAGTCCAGAAGGTGGAGGCAGCAGTGAGTTATTACTGCACCAGTGCACTCCGGAACAAGTGGCCTACAGAGCAAGACCCTATCTCAAAAAAAAAAGTGTTTTTTCTTTGTTGTGTCTATTTCCTCTTGTGCTCATTCTAATTTAGCTTTCACTTCTGATTTTTTTTTTTTTTTTTTTTTGAGACAGAGTCTCACTCTGTCACCAGGCTGGAGTGCAGTGGTGCAATCTCAGCTCACTGCAACCTCCGCCTCCTGGGTTCAAGCAATTCTCCTGCCTCAGTCTCTCAATTAGCTGTGATGACAGGCATGCACCATCACGCCCAGCTAATTTTTGTATTTTAAGTAGAGACGAAGTCACCATATTGGCCAGGCTGGTCTCCAACTCCTGACCTCAGGCGATCCACCAGTCTCAGCTTCCCAATGTGCTGGGATTACAGGCGTGAGCCACTGCCTCCAGCCAATCACATACTTGGTGTTATAAAAACCAAAAATGTATTCTCTCACAGTTCTAGGGGATTAGCAAAATCCAGGCGTCAGCAGGGACACACACTCTCTGAAGGCTCCAGTAGGAAACCCTTCATTGTTTCTTCCGGCTTCTGCTGAATATTAG